AAGGAAGGAAGGAAGGAAGGAAGGAAGGAAGGAAGGGAAGGAAGGAAGGCATTGACCTTCTTTGCTTCTGGGAATCCTGAGGTTTTGGAGTGATGATTATCACCATGGCGGAGAAATGGAAAATGAGGCAGAGAAGGTTGGCTGGCCTGTCCACAGCCATGGAGCTGGGAGGAAGAAGAGGATCCAAGCCAGGCTGCAGTGGCTCTAGCACCTGGGCTCTCACCCTGTTTCAGGGGGTTTGAACTGAGAATCGTGTGCGTTGGCTTTTGACCTTTCTGGGGACACTGCTGATAGCCCTGAATTTTCTGCTATACCCATACTGGATGCAGCAAAACTACAACCTTATAGCTTCTCAGTGTCCACTCTCCTTCAGTACAAGTTTGATGGGAAACAACAGCTCTGAAAGAGACTAACTACGCTAATGCAGTTGTGTAAGACACCGAGGTCCTGTGCTTTCTGGGATGTGGGCATCTGTGAGACCTTCTAAAAGTCCTTTCGTCAGTGTTTGGTGAATAATGAACAGTTCAGAAGAGGAGATAACTCCACTGTTTGAAGAACTATCTGCTCAGTATTTAAGATTTTCCTGGGGTAAACAGCATGGTTCAGTACCAAAATTCTAACTGCTGACTGAGGTGTGGGGCACTGAGTTCTCTGGCACTTTCTGTCAAGTGGGAGACTAATTGTACCACCTCTGAGGCAGGTGCTCATGGCAACCTTCCCAGAATTTTCTCCATCCTTGCAGAAGCAGCTGTGTTTAACTACCACAGATCCCACTGTATCACCAAGAAGTGGACACAGTCAAAAGTGATCTATTTGCAATCAAATGAGACGCAGAGGGAAGGAATGTGGCCAAGTGTGGAATCTAGTTTTCTTATTCTGTAGCTAAGAAAAGAGGGTAAAAGACAATCACCAGGCTCCTGGGCTCAACAGCCAGGCTGTAATTCGCTCCAAAGTCCATTTCTCATGACACAATGCTGCCTCACATGGTTGCTTGAACTCGACTTCTATTTCCCAGTATCTAGATACTTAAAATAATAAAGTGCCAATTGCACAGGCTATATAAATGAGAAAGCTCTCAGATACTGTGAGAAAGCATGTGAAATGGTATGAGTAGCTGATGATAATGAGAAACACAGAACTCCTCTTCATTTCCAAAACAGCCTGTTCCCTAAAACTGTGTGTCCTATAAAACTTTTCATATAATCTAAAGATAATGCCAACCTAATTTTGTTCTTTTAGGAGAAAATTCATGATCTAGATTATAAGAGAAGGAACTGGGGACATGTGTCTATCACGATCGCTTCCTTAATCTCACAGGTGTACTTGTGTGGAGGACCATAAACTTCTGCTCTCTTGGGTGGCAGATGAAATATCAGAATGAAGGAGGTGAGCTCAGACACAGGCATTCTATAGCTAAATGGAGCCATCTCAGATAAAGTTTTCCCAGTCTTCACAAACTGACTACCTATATATTTACCTGTGGGTGAGAATAAGTTACTTTAGAAGCTCGTCAATACTGAAGGATGTTGGCTCCTACCCAAAGGAGCTAAGAATGACTGCTTTGGTAAACAGGTAAATCAAATGAGGAAAAAACACCAGAGTGGGAGCCAGACTAGAACACTAGTGATTAATGAAATTTTCTCAAAAATGAAAAAAACCTCAAAATTTTCTATAGCTGGTGGTTCATAAAACTAAGCCCAATGCTTTTATGTTGCAATCTGTGATTACTTCTTGAAGAATTGGTATTGAATTGTTTAAAAATAACTAATAGCAACAATAAAGGAAACAGCATCAATCAGCCTTAATATTAGTATGCTAACTCTCCAAGTCTAATACAGTGGCAATCACTACTGTTTACAAGCTTAAGAAAACTATACAATCATCCTACAATTTGTTTGACCTTGTTTGAATAAAGTAGGCTTATTGTAATTTGATTACTTATTTTATTTTTACATAAAAATTTTATTAAATGATTGTGTATTTCATACAGAACATCTGGATCAACTTTATATCCCCTTCCCCATTGGCACCTGTCCATAGCCCCTCACTGGAATTCATACACTCTGTCATTTATGCCTAATCATGTCATTAGTGTCCCCAGACATCCTTGGTGCGAGTTCATCCACTGAGGTCTAGTCAGCCTATCTAGAATCCTTCCCTTTAACAATAAGAAGCTCTTTACCCAGCTGTGTTCATCGGCCAATAGGTCTTCTGTTACAATTGGGGCCTGCTGTCCATTTCCACAGTTTTGTGCTGGGTTTTGTCTGCTTGAGTTTGCATGGGT